GGGAATATCTTACCATTGACTGCCCTATCCGAAATAACTCCAAGTTCGGACGACATCGATGAGCTCGCCTGAGATCCTGTCGGAGCCTTACTCACTTCTGGCTTGGCACTCTCCACTGCTACAAATGAGATAAAGTACAATCATTATAAAGACAGCCAACGATAGGGCGTGTGAAGGAGCGTGAACTGGATCGCTGCCAAAGCGGTCTATTCCACCAATAATGCTACCCACAGCCCGCCAGCATTGGTGGGAAAGCCGGCTGTTACTGCACTTCAGACCATTTTCCTTCACACGCCCTATCATTGACTGCTTGTACTTTATCTCATTTGTAGCATTGGAGAGTGCCAAGCCAGAAGTGAGTAAGGCTCCGACGGGATCACAGGCGAGCTCATCGATGTCGTCCGAACTTGGAGTTATTTCAGATAGGGCAGTCAATGGTAAGATATTCCAATTCGGAAAAATCAACAACAGTGAATCAGAGCTTAGTTTTAAGAGCATCAAAAATACCCATCAGGCACCAAATCGGAAGGATCAAAGAAATAACAATATTCTATCGAATCTCCAGTTTGAAATAAACAGAAAATAAACAATTAAATAGTTGGAATGCGAAAATTTCCAAAAATCCGATGAACAGGAGCCGGAAAGCTCACTGATTGGGTTTATGTGTTCGCTGTAGTAAACCACAGCAATGAGTTGATGACCGCTTCGCTTCTGCGCGACACCGCCACATGGACCTCATGACCTATGCACCCACAAACACGGCGGCCACGGAGCCTGCCAGGAGTGGGGATCAGGTGGTTTATAGGAATAAGCGGTTTCTTGTACAGCCAGGGTACGCTATGAGGATTCCCTAGCGGGATTGATTGTATCTGCCGTAAGTAGAAATTAAACAGTATAGATATTTTTGCCGTTTCAAGTACTCTCTATGTACCCTGCCGCACTAGGGTTGTACTTTTTTCGTACATTAGGGACGAATTTCATCAGCTTGTTTTTCACCAATCGATGTAGATTAACACTTCAACAATCGGTAGGGGAAGGGTTGGCGCCGTTCCAAACCCAGCCAACACTCCGCAATTTCCAAGCGTCTTCAGCAAAAACGACTGCACTCTCTCTGCTCGCCCTCCAGTTTCGCTCAGTGGATATAAGGAGGAGAATGGAGCCTGTATTGGGAGAAGTTTCCTCCATCTCCGGGATGACTACTTTCATCCCACTGACCCTTAATTTAAAACTTCAACCGCGATTCAAGCAACTATGACCCCTTGAGCGAGTTGTAGTCGATCCCTTTGCTTCACCAGAAATCGGACCAAGAGTAGCACACCTGAAGGAAGTTACATCATTGGAGAGGGAACAGAACGCCGCTGTAGCATCGAATCGACCAGCTTTACTTCTATTGTTGGTAGCCAGAAAGGCCAACCTCACGCTCCATACCAACAAGAAACCCTAATTTTTGTTAATAGCCTAGATCACTTGAGGAGAGGAAAACGATTATGACTGAATATTAAGGTGGACTGACGGGGTGGAGAGTCCGATGCGAGAGCAAATTGCTAAAGAGATGGCGAAGTTGCCTAATTGCCGTATGCGTCGTTAGGTCAAGAGGAACAGCTGGAATAAGGAACTGTGCAAAAATGGCAAAGCCAAGTTGAATTTTCCCGGAAGAAGCCGAAATCTACGGAATCGTCTTCGAAAGATAACTGTGGGGATGATCAACGGCCATGCAAGAGGACGTCGAAAGTATTATCTGTGCGAAATACATTGCTTAGCACTAACGAGAAAAATTAATTTAGACGAAGTCACGGCGCAGGCGTTGGCACCAGTTGCAGGTACGGATCCGAGAACAAGCCAGATCGAGTACGTTCTTCTTTTCACTCAAACTGTAAACTTTTTTGTTGTTATGACAAAACAGTCCACAAATTAATCCTCTCAATTCCTGGATGATCGCAAAAGTTGAATCGTTTTATTCTCCACGTTCGTGAAACAGTTGAAGCACAAGATTTACACGCCCCCACTAAGGGCGGGGGGGGGCATTCACTCTCAATGCATACGTTCCTCAGCTCCCGTGTTCGCTACCATGTAAAGACCTGCGTAATGCGTCGTGAAGCCAGGAAGGATCGCCACCCAAGCTTGAGGAGGCCGTTGTTCAACTTTTGTCAAGAAACCTGCAAAGCAACGAACACTTTTATGGGAAGAAGCGAAAATTCAAAGGCCCCTCATAACGATTGGCCGTTCTGGCATCAAACGCGCCGGCAGTCGCTGGATCTTTATAAGCGGCTTACTGGGGACCATCCGATCCCTAGATCCTCCGTACACAACAAGAGCGGTAGTTGGCAAGGTTTTGCCTCTTTTTCCCCTGTTGAGAAGAATTTTATGGGGAAGGAACCGGGTTCCCTTTGGCAAAATGGGTAACAACGCTATTAAAAATACACTGGTGTGGGTTCGAATCTCGTCTGGGCCGAGTGTTTTGCATATATCATTCCTGTGACAGCAAACAAAACTTTATTTGTCGAGTTGTTTGAATTAAAAAAATTATGAGAAAATGCAGTAATTTTGCAGGGCCTCCTGCTTCTTCGAATAAACACGTAGTCGATTCACCTTACAACAGGTGAGTGGGGCATTTTTAGCGGGATATTACAGGCAGTGGGCACGATGGCTGAGGGCGGGCCGTTTCTGCCAACGTCATTGGTGGAAGATCTGCGAAAGGGCGCTTGGCTGCATTCCCTTTCAACCTTCCCACCAATGAACTTGGTTGCAACTGCCCGCCCCCAGTCATCGTGCCTACTGCCTTTAGTTGAAAAATGTTTGAAGAGACGGTTTACGGTGGCGGTATGGGCGGAGTTGGACCCCCGTACTTACGATGCCTTCGCAATATCACTCAGGGCAAGTCGAGGTGTTCCCTGTCCATGCTGGCTGCGTCTCATGCCTCGTATCCTTTTTCAGGGAGGGGGGTTAGGCGTATCACTGCGCCTCCCTTATTAACACGCTCCTCTCTATCGCCACGCTCCTCTCTATCGCGTTGGAAAGCGGGACGCATAACGAGGAGGGTATGGTTGCAGGTCTGACTCCGCCCAAACAGCCGGCATGGTTTATGCTTCAAGCACAGGCAGATCAGCTAGCCTTGAGTAGCCTAGTAAAGACCATTGTGCACTGAAACCACGACTTTGAATGGGAGCCAAGGGCCTCGCAGATCCTGATTCATTTCATTAATCTCATGCCTCTTACCCTTTTTTTCTTTGACTCAGCGCTAGAGTATTTCAGAGGGCTACACTCATCTAAGAAGAGCCATTTTGTGATCCATAAGGAAATCGATGATGCCGTTGAAGTGGTGGGGATCTGCGGTGTTTCGATTTTTCTCATAGAGTTTTCTTCACAGGGCCATCAGCGGACCCCAGCTTCAGCGACCGAAAATTCTAAAAATACACCTGGCAGGGCGAAATCCTGATGGTACTCCAGTTCTCTGCCGAGTCGACATAATTTCTTATTTATATCTATATTTATGCCATCTATAAAATAGCATTGCGACTTTTATGACGAGAGTATATGTACGTAACTGATGACTTAGATCCAATAAATAATTGGACAAGAACTTATTTACTTATTTATTTACCTCAGTGCGCCAGAAGGCGCGCTACAGCACACATTAGAACAGCAACGCAAAAGTAGGTCTCTGAATGTCCGTTCGAAGTTTTATGCATAACCCTGAAATGGGTAACGCAGGCATCCTTGTGGTCATGTCGTTGCGAGCGTGCTCCCGTGAGCGTCATTCGCACCAGGCCCAATTATCCACGCGAAGGCGCGTTAGTGCACCAGAGTCAACTAGCTAGGAGAAGTTACTTTTTTGCAGTTCATCTTGTAGGGGGTCGTTGGGACATTCGTGACAATGCTCGTTCCGTGGCGCCCGAGCTAGGCAGCGTCATCTTTGAGGAAGGCCTCCGCCCCTCCCCCCCCCCCCCGCTTGTTCATAGCTATACGAGAAGCGGTGAGCAGAGGCGCGTCAAGGATGTCATTACCTGAAATGGCCCATCTGAACAGTTCTAGACTTCAGCTGACTACAGCAATTTTTTCTGTGAACAAAGCAGCCAGGTTCGCCTCTTCGGCGACTTTTTGATTAGGATTCTTGGACATCTCGGTTCCTGCTTTCATATGGCTATCCACCAGATATCAGCAATTTTGTTGGCTGGACCCGCGGTATCCACAGCGAACAAGACTGAACTTCCCCAATAAGTGCACCCTGGTGTGTGCGATGTGCCATTAATTACATACGTAGTTAGTATGGCACTACTTTTGTTCTAGGGTGAAAGATGCCACCAATTGTGTGAAGGTTTTGCTTACGCCATGTTTATGGGGGTTGTGACTGAGTTAGCAGAAACTCTTTAGAAAGCTCAGACTGGTACGTACGGCTCAAACCCACTACCAGCTCACCTTGATTTCATCTCAGTAGTTCAAAATGGGGATGATTGATTTGCAGGGTAGGGACAAATTGTTTGTCGTCTGCCAATGTGCTTGCTCCATCAAACTGGCAATTTTTGAAAACATTTTTATTTCAGCTACATATCAAAGCGTGTCAGTGCACAGAAACCCTTTAACATGAACAATTTCGAGGGCAAAGACGGTTGTGTAAGGCGTTTTCATAAAGAAATAAGCACTGAATTAAATCTATGGGTGAAGTCGAATTAGGTAACTATGAAACACTGAAAGTCAAATTAACGGGTAACATCGGCTATAATGGTGATCGTATTGGCGTCCATATCGCTGCCACAGAGTTCTGCCAATGTTTTGTCCAGAATCAGTGTCTTTCAATGGAATCTGCAGGTTGCTGTACGCTTCACAGCACCGATGCGATATCCCGGAGACGTGGTGCAACGACACGCCGCTGAAATGATAAAAACGGCTAGGGATGAGACAGAGTGGGCGTTGTTCGGCTTGACAGGGGGAATTTTGAACTTTCGCCAGTTCCTCTTACGAGTTCTTGTTAACTACCAGGTTTTATTTTGGTGAGACCGTACACTCGCGTGAAGCTGAGAAATAGTGCAAGTGAGCTACTTGGTAACAAGGACTTACAGGTCTTCATAAGGTGGCCTGTAGTACTTCACTGAGTACTATTTGGTGCCCCCACCGAGTCGGACTGCGCCGTAGAGTGTAACGAAATTGGGTAACCACCGGAAGGCGCTTCGAGCCTCGGAAGAGGCCACTCCCGGCGTCGTGCCTGCTCTTCTTGAGGCAACTCGACAGGTTCACCTTGCCTTTACTCGACTCCAGTACTTTGCTCCCACGTTGCTGCACCCCCTCAGCAGACCGAGCGCTGTATGTTGACGTGTGTAAGCCTCAGATAAAGGGCGTCACTTCCCGGGCACATAGCGCCTCCGATGAGTTCCTGAGGATGATTGTCCATACTCGAACTTACCGATGAACGCCGTCTGTTTCAATCCGGAAGTGATCGATAACCTCACGAACAGTGACGCAACATGGAAACTCGTCCTTGATTCTTAGCTGGGCTCTGAAACTCCCTAAGTCACTTCTAAGGCGGTTGGGGTCATTTCTGGGGACTTACTTTCCATTCATATTCCGATGAAAAAGCACAAATCGTACTTCAACCATACATATGCATTCGGCCTCCGAATGAGTACTCTCGAAAAGCATGATTTAGAGCGCTTCCATACAAATAGTGCCCAGATTCCTTGGTGTCCACAAACACGGACCATTTACGAGGGAGTGGGTACTAGCTTCCAGCGAGAGGATTTTATCAGCATCAATAGAGAAAAGTAAAAGGCGCACTTCAAGCAGATCGCGTGGACTCATACCATATGCCTTCATCTGCCTACTCGTCGAATAATTGAACGATTAGGAAGTAACACTTCGCTAGATTTTATTATTCCACAGTGATTGCGAATGACTTCTACATTTACTAGCACTGGCTTTATGGTGAAGCGCTAGCAGATCACAGCAGCGCT